CCACCAGTTCCTGGATTTCCTTCTTGTTCAAGGGTGAGCTAAAGTATATTAAGCCTCATCCTCGAAAGCCAAATAAGACATCTCGTCCTTGTTCAACCCATAATCTTACTGGTGTTTATCTAAAGCTCGTGATTGGTCATGTAAGGAGAAATGCTTGTTCCAAGAACATAATATAGATAGTGAGTGGAGAGAAAAAACGTATCTAGTTGCCTTCATATCCTGTTGGTTATGCTTCTTCGTGTTTCCTCACAAGAACCTCAACTTTCTTCGTCCAGGAGTTTTTAAAATCGATAGCTTGATGGCCGAGAGGGACAATTTCAGCCTTGCCATCCTGGTCTTAGCTAATATATATCACGGATTAGGTCACATCTTAAAAGCCTCTGAGCCAGCTGTAGGTTTGGAAACTTGTCTTCCCATGCATTATATTCATGGTTGGTTGGCTCACTACTTCAATACACATTACAAAACACCTATGGAGGTCCCAGGGCCCAGGATGGTTGAGTTTCCAGGTGAAGGCGGTTCTATATATTTTAAAGATGTTGCAGCTCGTGAATTGATTCATAAAGGTAGGTCCATAGTATGGCACGTAAATGTTCAATCCAAGAATCGGAACGAACTTTTAGTGGATGATGGCAATTTGTCATTCACACAATGTTCCTATTTCTCAAGCCTTAGAACTTGTTACTTATCATCATGATGCGGGRACTCAATGGTTATTGAATCATACAACCCTCACCGATTTGGTCGACAGTTTGGCTTCTATAAGGACATACCTTATTTTTCGAAAGAAATGACCCTCTTAGTTAATTTGGACAACGTCCTATGTCATTGAAGAGTTTGCACTCGAACTAATACATCGTCACAAGTGTTTCTTCTAGCTCGTACATTAAATCCACACGAACAAGTCACTACTCAATACAAAAGCTGGTGGTTTAGAAAACATGGGGATTACCTCGAGAAAGGTATATCAAAGTTGATGAGTAGTGCTCTTCCTCCTTCACCATAACCTAAATTCCCAAAAAATAAAGGAGGTAATAAAGGAGGAAAAGACCTTCATCTAATTGAGGATAAAGTCTCTCCTTCGACATCGGATGTTAGCGAACATACTGAAGAGAGCCAAGACAGTAATGACGATCGTCATTGGAAGCGAACCAAGAAATCCAAGAAATCCTTCCGCTCTAACGATCATTTTTTTATGGCATTTCCAGCACCTCTCAGATTCCTGACATCGTCGAAATAATGGTGATTTTTTCCTCCTCCTTTAGTTCTTACTCTTCTTACTTTTCCTTTATTATCACATCTTCTAATTTGCCCCATTTCTTTTTATAGCTACCTTTGGAGGATTTCATCGAAAAAGTGGACCAGGAATATAGTGGAGAGTCGATGATGAGTCCAGATGGTTTTTAATCTTCCATAAAATAGATTGAAAGTTCCAATACGCCTATAGTTGAGAAGATAACTTCCCCGTCTCTCCGGGCATTTGTGGACGGCTACTTCCAGAAAGTTGAAAGATATAATAATCTAGAGTCCTCATTTTCTACTCAACTAACCAAGGTTCGTCAACTAGAAGAGATGAGATCTAATTTGGAGAAATCATTGTTGAATGAAGATCACATACTTGGAGAGCAGAATGCACTCCAAKAGCGATTCAATAAATTGGCCTCAAGAATTGAGGAGCATGAGGCTGAGCTTAAAGCTATGAGAATTGAAGCTGAGACGCTCTCCTYTTTAATTTCTGAGAAAGGAAATGATCTGGACAAACATAGACTTAAGACCTCTGCGATACGTGAAGAGATAAGTAGTATGGAATACATYGCTACTACCAATGAAACAAATGTGAGATCTCAGGAGGGAGTTCGTAATGCTTTAGAAAGCGCACGCCAAGAGCGGAAAGAGTTCAAGTGGAAGCCTTGATATTTTATTATATTATCTTCTTTTTAATTTTATAATCTCATGGAGAGACATTTTATTTGCTTATTTATTGGTCAATAACAGATTAATGTACTTAGCATTTTTTCCTTTGGTATAATAAAATTTCTAAATTTTGTTTAAACCTTAGATTTTTTTTTTTTTCTTTTTTTGCTTAGACTGAACTTAAAACATTCTTTAAGCTGCCTACGTACCCTCTGATGAAAGGGATCAAGTCATAACGTAGTTTAAATACAAGATATTTTTTTAATTTTTTTTAGGTCGTTCACCTTTTTAACTCATATGGACTAGGAGTATCATGTAGTTTAGACTCTTATGATAAGGAGTGTTTACATTTCACGTATAAATTCTTTTAAGAAATTTGCCGTTAATCAGGTCAATTCTCAATCCATTTTTATCAACGACCTTATATGCTTTATTTGTGTAGACTTCTTTAACGATGTAGGGTCTGTCCTATTTAGGTGTGAACTTATTCCCTATGTAACGCGTCATGATGATAGTTCTACGAACAACAAGCACCATATCACCAACCTGAAATGACCAAAGCCGAACATTTTTATTGAAGGCTTTGGTCATTCGAGCCTGGTAGCATTCCAATACTTGTTGCGCATCAAGTTTCTTCTCGTCAAGTGCTTCTAACTCTTGAAGGCGTAATTTTGCATTGTCTTCAGTTGTTAAACCTTCTAGCACAGCCAAATTTTCTAAGGCATCTGTCTTTTTGTTCTCCAAATGAGGAACATGCTTTAGTGTTATGTCATCAAACTTCTCCAGCAGTTGTCTCGCATAAGCGAAATAAGGTTTAAGGTCTTCGTGCTTCACATCATACTCCAGCAGAAGTTGGTTGATTATCAACTTCGAATCGCCGTAGATCTCAATGTATGTTATTCCGATTTCTATGGAAATTTGAAGACCTATGATGAGCACTTGATATTCAACAGCGTTGTCTGAACACAATTCACTAAGTGTGAAGTTGTAGGGCAACATATGTTTCTCAAGTGAAACAAAGACAACACCTACCCCCGCTCTATTCCTTCGTGCTACACCATTAAAGTACATGGTCCAAGGTTCCTTAATTTCAACATAGAATACTTCTTCATCAGATAAATCTTCACACAATTTCCAATCTGATGGTTTCCTAATTCGCTAAGACCTTCTCCAACTTAGACACTCGGGCCAAAAGGTTGGTACTTTCGATCGTCACTATGGAGGTGATYCTGAGCACCCTCAACCAGTGTCGTATAGTTGAGACCACTCCAGTGCACCCTCCTGAAGCAGCCCCTCAACGACCAGTCTATCATTAGAATGACGAATCCTTTGCTCTGGCGACTGCAACACGTCCGTAAGCTCAAACACCCAGTGCCTTTCTGGACACGTACCTTTGACAGAATGGTTGATCCCTTCATAAGACATTTTGATGTACTAAGAGCTCTTGCAAAAAAGGCGTTGTGAAAACATAGATATCGTCCCCCCTCATTTAAATAGAGTGACGGAGATAGTGGATCCACCAAATAGTCCATCTCAAAGGAGCACGGTCACTAGAAGATCAATGTGCTTATCTAAAATTTGTGATGGAATTGAAAGCCTGCAAAATGACTGGGACATGCAATCGACGTAAGGCTCCTATATCAACTAGCACTCCATTTATGGTCTCCATATAGAAGAACATCTCTTTGAAAACGCGAAACGACGCGTATCCCCTCATAACTAAGTCATACAACATCGTATACTCCCARAGTTCAACGACTTCCTTTGTCGTCCTATTTGGCACAACTAAATAGAGGAAGCGAGGCCATTGTTGTCGAGTAAAAACAACATGCCACACATYAAGAGACCAACTAAGCCACTTGGGCTAGCTCAGGAAACCAACCTGGCATAGCCGAGCACACTAGAAGGAATTCCAGTGTACAGCTATAGGGTCAAGTGCTCCTAACGATTTCGTACGATGGACAGTTAGTGAGCAGGATGCTGACACCCTGTACCCAAATCATTGCRCGTCACACGGGACCTTAGATAGAGGATGTCGATAATCTCCGAAGACCCTTGGCGCGACATACATCTCCCCTATGAATGCCTAAGGGAGTGGAGACCTCCCCTCRCATCCTCTCCATCTCATATAAAACGAAAGAGGCAACCCTAGCAAAGGTAGTAAGTCACATTTTCCTATACAACTCATTATGAGGATTCGACACACACTCTCAAGTAGACTCTCACCCTCGAGATTCATACTCTCTCACCCTTTCTGCTCCGTACCTATTAACTTGAATTCTAACTTAAGTTTCAGACTGTATTCGGCAGAGCACTATACCGATACAAGATTTCTGTATGTGTAAGTAACAAGCAAGTAGAGACTAAAGCATACGTGGTAGTTGAATGACACCTACGCGGCCTTCAACTAGAAATTGGATAATTYGCCATTTCCATTTTACCAACATTTGACTGGTTATTGGTTTAAATTCTACTTTGGCCTCTAAATTTTGATACTAATATTTTTGTTTTGATCTATACAAGTTTAATTGGTGCATTTTAGTCAATTACTTGACAAATATTATGTTTTAGTCTCTAAGTAGTGCAACAAGAAACCACTAATCTTAGTTCTTTCTCATTTATTTTTCATTAATCTTTTAACAAAAAAAATTATATTTTGGAACTTGATACTTTACCTACTATAATATGATCTTTAAGTACTTGTACAATTCAAATATTTACTCAACAAACAAATAAACAAAAGATGATTCTATTAAACATTTATAAAAAAAAAAACTAACAATAAGGAGTAGAATAACTTCATTTTTTTTATGCAATGTTCAAAAACTAAAATAAAAGTTTGAAAGCAATAAAGTTATGAGAGGTTGTTGTACCAAAATAAGATTAATTAAAGCATACCGGTGACCACCACGTCTTTACGCCGCTGTCCATCATTCATACCGGACATATATCATTTAATTAATATAAGTTGCCACATTAGCAACTACAATAAATAATTAATTGCAATTTGCCACGTCATTTTAATATTAGTTAATTAACAGTAAAAAAAATCATAGACAATTTAGAACTATTTCTYAAACTTCAGGGACAAAAAATGTTCATTTTAAAACTTAAAGGACCAAGTTGACACTTACTTAAGGACCAAAAGTGTTCATTTTGAAACTTCAAGGACCAATTAGATACCTACCTCAAATCTCAGGACCCATAAGTGTTTATTTTGAAACTTCAGGAACGAAGTARACACCTACCTCAAACGTCAATGACCAAAAATGTATTTTTTCTTTTCATTTTTTATTTTGAAAAGGGAAAAAAATGATAGTTTCATTTGATGAACTCCATAACCCATAGATTATATACAAAACATTCAAAGTTGATGTGTTTAAACCTAGCTTTGGTTGCGAGGGCTTTAAATTCATCTCGAGTTCGCTCTTTTCCCCCTGGACTTTGAGTCATCATAAGCACATCGCCTTGCGTAACGAATTTCATCGTACTCGTAGTCTCAATCACCATTGGAACCACTGCATCCACTACAATTACCTTCCCCTCATCTGGAATCGCAACATGGCAATYCTTCAACAACTTCACGCAATGTTTATCACTCCAATCATGAAGTATCCACTATAACAATTTTCAAGGAAAAAAAAGTAATATTAATATGGGTGAATCAATACATAATTTATCAAATTCAAAATGGATTCAAATGCGGAAATGCTCCGATGTGATTAATTTTTTCGTAAGGATATTGAATAGTTACAGGCAAACGATTTGCGTGGAAAAGTAATCATGAAACGTTGGCTAATGTACCTTACAGCTCGTACAGTTTGTTGAACATAATTCATAAACCTAGTTCATCTTTTATTTCAAAACTGTGTTATTATTTAATGCATGAMAATTTTCGCATCCAACCTACAATTCCCTGTCAATTTCTATAGTAAATGGAATATCAAGAATTGTGCTCAGTCAAATATTGCAAAGCCTTCCTATCTAGTAACATAAATACTTAAATCCAATCATGAAAGTACATTATTAGTTTAACTACAATAATGCTTAGAGCAGACCACAAAAATTTCAAAGAAAACTAATGAAATGATAGTATTAACTTTTATGGTTTTCTGATCGCATTTGGATTGTTGTGGAGTCTAAGAGGGACCTCTGTAACCATCATGATTCTTTCTAGCTAGTTCTCAATAAATTCGATTCCTCTAAAAAAATAATAATAATTAATAATAATAAAATAAATAAATAACTTTTACCGGTATGGAGTTTGTGAGTTTGAGAATAGGAATTTAAAAAGAAAAAAAAAACTTCCCTCATTTATTTATTTAGTTAAAATGAGAACGAAATAATCTTTGTAGAGTTCGTCTGGTAACGTCCTTGTCTACTGTTTTCTATTTCTCGTTTACTATTTCTTGTTTGTTGTTTCTAATTTTTTTAGAACTAGAAAAAGGAATAATTTTGGTAACCATTTTTGTTTCTTGTTACTGAGAAAAAAAATAGAAAAAAATATATGTTTGATTACTAGACTCGTGATATATTCCTATTTTTGTAACTATTTTTGTACTATTTCCTATTTCTTGTTGGGATGGGGATTTGAACYCATGATCTCGTGATATATTGTGAATTCAGGTTGACTTATTTTTATTTTTAGTTAAAATAAAATAATAATTCATTAAATAAAATATAATTTAGGATATAATTTTTTTTATATAAAAGTATAAATTATTAGCTRTAAATACATAATAAAATTTCAAAATATTTTTAATTTTAAAAAAATTATTGTTTAAAAAAATATAATAGCTTGGTTTAAAGAATAAAATTTAAAAATATTTTAAATTTAAAAAAAAATATTAAAAAAATGTTCCATTACTGGTCGAGCGCAAGTGCTCTTTATAGAAGATAGCCGATAATTTCAACTGGCTGCAATTATTGGTTTCTTACTATTTTCTTGACACTTGTCTCAACATGATTTGATACAACTAAAGAGATAAGGTATGGCCAACAAGACAAGTCCTTGACTGGCATCTTATCTCTTTGGAATCTACTTTATAAAAGTAAACATAAGCGTGGCCGACAGGAGGCATCTTATCTTTGAAAAAGTAGGAAAAGAAATAAAGTAAAGCGGAAAATAATTACAAACTGACAAAATAAAGAAAAGTCAGAAAATAAAAGCTGATATGACTGTTTTTGGACTGGAAGCTTGTTCAGATTTTGAGGAAGTCTCTCCTTCCGTGGATTCTGAATCTTGGAATTTTCTAAAGGTGAATTCAAGAGTAGAGAGTCGTTGCTTATTACTAGCAACTTCCCTTTTGAGATTCTTCACTTCAGTGTGGAGATCTTCAATTTTGATCGGCTTCTTAGCTTCTCCTTTGACCCTTTTTAGAATATCGTGAAAAAAGTATTCTATTAGGTCGTATTCTGGTTTCTTTTGAAGAGCTTCTGCTTCAAGGCTTTCCCGAAGTTTAACAAGACACATTCTTTTAGAGCCTTCATCGGGTAATTGATCAATTAGAGAGGGGGGACGAATAGATACTTTGTTGGAATAGTTGAAGGCTCCAAAAGAATGTGTCTTGTTAAACTTCGGGAAAGCCTTGAAGCAGAAGCTCTTCAAAAGAAACCAGAATACAACCTAATAGAATACTTTTTTCACGATATTCAAAAAAGGGTCAAAGGAGAAGCTAAGAAGCCGATCAAAATTGAAGATCTCCACACTGAAGTGAAGAATCTCAAAAGGGAAGTTGCTAGTAATAAGCAACGACTCTCTACTCTTGAATTCACCTTCAGAAAATTCCAAGAGTCAAAATCCACGGAAGAAGAGACTTCCTCAAAATCTAAACAAGCTTTACAGATTGGTTCACCAAGCGGAATCAATTACRTTAGCAAGGTTCAAAATCAAAAGTGGATGTCTAAGATTATTTTCAAGATCAGAGACTTCCAGCTGGAAACATTCGATCTTATCGACTCTGGAGCCGATCAGAACGTCATCCAAGAAGGATTAGTTCCTTCTAAATATTTCGAAAAAACAAAAAAAGTTCTTAGCGGTGTCGGTAGAAATCCATTGAACATCAAATATAAATTATCAAAGGTCCACATCTGCAAAGACGACGTGTGCCTTATCAACACCTTCATCCTGGTAAAAAACCTCAATGAAGGAGTCATATTAGGTACCCCTTCTTAACTCAATTATATCTTTTTTCAGTCACTGATAAARGAATAGTATCTAAGAAGTTCAACAAAGAGACTATCTTCGAATTCAGTCAGCCGGTAA